AGTATTACGTTATATATATATATATATATATATATATCTCCTGATGCTCCGGATATACCTAACTTATGGTTGCGGTTGTGGGCCCTTTCAATTTCTCCAGAATTCTCTTGATGTTATTGGCGTTATCGGCGGGGGGGGGGTTTTGAAAAAATAATGATATGTTTTCTTATAGTGCCAAACCGGGAGCCTTGGTGGTGGCGGCCTTCCATATTTGCCTTACCATGCGATATCCATTATTGTATATGGATTCGCGCCTCCCTCCCCTTCCCTTCCCTTCCCTTCCTTCAGGCAGACATCCCCGTTCTTCCCACAGTATCTTTTTGTTTTGTTTTGTTTTGTTTTTAGCATCGGGTGCGTAGCAGTACGACGATAACAAAGGCGTCGAGGATCCACAATTCCGCGACACCCAGTCGGTAAGTATTATGAGATGATGGGGATGGGGGGAAGAGGTTCATGACATGAGATATCATACTTTACGACCTGGGCGAGTGACAGGACGTGATTCTTAAACCGAGTGATTGGATATGATACTTGGACATTTCTAAATCTAAGCTAATATATCCACGAGTGAATACCTGCGTAAAAATATGTAGTGTGATGGATATTACAACCCGAAGGAGCAGGATGAAGGGAGTTAAAAAAATAATAATGATCTTAAATTTACGACATATCTACAAAAGTTGGAAGGAAGGGAGGAAGGGAAAAAAAACAACAACACACATCTCTCGCGGTGCAGAGAGTGAATTTTCCAGAGCCTAGAGACTGCAGTGACGACCGATGCTAGTTTCCAATTGCGATTTCACTACTGCGGGATTCGAAGACGGACAGACAGGAAGGGCAGAAAATGGACATGTCCACGCTGGCAGGAGCGAGGCATCAGGTATCATATCATACGAATGGCGAAGACGATATTGTCGGCAACTGCACGAGGGCGGAACCCTTCTTAGGGAAGGGAAGGGAAAAAAAAGAAAAAGAAGGATGATAATCTGGGAGGTCAAGTTAGGTCAGGCCAGGTAAGGATATACCGTCACGTCACGTCACGTTCCCGCCCCGTTCCCGCCGTCCCGTTCCCATCCCATCCCATCCCATCCCATTCCGCTAAGCTATCCGTGGACAAACGAACGAACGAAAGAACGAACGAACAAACAAACAAACGACCATTTGCAAACGGGCGTGGCTAGGGAAGGTTCTAGACCACCCCCTACCGACAAAACTTTATATTTGTATCATATCGTATCGTACGCCAACGGATTGTGGCAATACATACATAAACGATGGTATTATAACTGAAATGAAATGTGTGTGATCCTCCCGAAGGAAGAACCCCGTCACAAGTGCTCACTCGCACAGCGCCTATTTGTTTTGTTCGTTTTTTTGCTTAAGGTTGGTTTTACTTGTAACTCGACGGGTAAAAAGTAAAAAATAAAAAATAAAAAATAAAAGTATCATGGTATAGCGATAATGATAAAGGGGAGGAAGGAAGGAAGGAAGGAAGGAAGAAGAAGAAAAAGTTCCAAATAATCAACACGATGATGGTGGTGATGGTCTGGGCTTGTACAACGTACTTTGCAAAGTATTGTGACAAACCTTCCCACCCGCTGCGAGTACCGTACGGTGTATTGTGACTTTCTCGAGAGAGAGGGGTGGAGGTATACTATGATATCGTTCATCTGCGTGCTCAGACTGCCCCGGGCCCTTCCCGGTGGAGTTAAAGCCCGCGGGTCAGCGATTTCGGATCAGTTTTGTGTGATATCTTGTGGAAAAGGATCCGGTTGTGGGTTGGATTTACTGTACTCTCTTCGCGATACCACTCACTCTTCTGGAAAGAGAGAGAGAGAGAGTCTTGGGAGTATCGTGTCCTGTGCGGTGTGGATAGTACGGTATGGGTTTCGTGAGTGTGGTGCAGAAGGGGTGGGAAAGGGTGCATCTTCCTTGTTTCCTCGTTTTTCTTGTTTTTCTTTGATAATGATGGGGGGCACATTTTGTGGATGGGGATCTGATTCGCTCAAGTTTGGCCCGGTTTATTACGGGGCACAGCGTATATTGTTTACCAAAACCTGTCATCTAGTTAGCTATGGTAACAGCACTTGCTCCGGCACGCCATTGTGAAATTAACTGAGCATGAGGGCTTTTTCCCGCTCACTCATCCATTTATTCTTTTTTTTTTCACAAGTAGGCGGGCGAAGGAGCCACGGTGCAGCAAGCACTGCGCATCAGCCATCAGTTTCCCTCCTCTCGCATTTCCTACGCTATTCCGAGGTGTGATACACTACCGCACAACACCCCATACATAATTCTATAGCAAAGATTCGGGTGAGGGTGCATAATTTAATTCGATACAATGACACCTCACTTGTCATTACTGCGCATTCCTCCTCTTCTATTCCTCCCTCTATATTCTTTCATATACCCAGCCAGTAGAGCAAAGCAATCAAGTGTAAATAGGCTGGGTTATGCCAGGCTAGGCCTGTTAGACGGGAAGCCCTTCCCTTCCCTTCCCTTCCCTTCCCTTCCCTTTCCCTTTCCTCCCCTATTTTCTGCTGCGGCCTCCCTCCCTCCTGTTCCTTTCTGTTCCCTTGCGCTTCTGGTGCTCACAATGGGGTAACATCTCAGTATGCAGTAATGAATCATAATACGCCAATATTACCGAGTGCAAACATGGGTACTGCGCAGCGCAACAGCGAACCAACGGGTGCACTCATTCCAATTCGATGCTCGTTTCCACTTCCCCTACCATCACGCCCCTCTCATTCCCGTCCCGTCCGGGTTAGAATAGAAGCAAGGAAGGGAAGAAGGAAGGATAGGTATGATCCGCGCCTGGACCGCTCACAAACTCATCTGTCCGTTAATCCACCAGCTCAAATCACACCAGTTGGTTAGTTGGCTTGGTCAGTCCCGCTCCATTACGCTCTAGTTCCTGTCGCCTCCCTCGCCACCCGTCCTATCATTACCCCATCATCCACCTCCATCCCTGTGGCATTCACGGCACATGAGGTTTATCTCCGCGGCGATGCTGCATGAAGACATCTGGTTCGTCGTCCTCGCCCTTTCCCGAGCCAAGAGAGCGGAACGCTCGCATGTAGCCTTGCGTGACATGAGATCCTCCCACTCTTAATGCTCCTTCAATCCACCCCGCTAGCGCTGAGATGGTACTGCGCTCTGGAACTGTGTGGGTCGTGTCATTGCCTTATCGACCCCCGGGGGTAAGATTGCGGGAATGGGAGAGTATGATGGGGCGCGAGTGAGGGGCAATGAGAAGGTCATGTCAGACCCGGCCTGGGAGCCTACCAATGACTGCGGTTCGATCTGCAAAGGCTAGGAATGAAGGGGTGAAGGGAGACGAGCAATCAGGCTGCATATTCTCTATGATAGGGTATGATGGGAAAGAGCTAGTATCCCTGGTCACTTGATAGATGAGGGTATCGGATCGGAGGTTGCCCTGATGAGCTCGATGGGATCTCCCTCACGCCCTCAGCGCTTTCCTATTGAGCTACGAATCTCATCCCATTTCCGGTGAATTGTTGGGCTCGGGTGAGTGATTTTGGGTTCGAGGGCCTGAACTCCTTCCTCCAATGCCGGACCTCCTCTGACACTAGCTCGGTCATGAGCCTACCCACGGCCGGAGCGTCACGTTTAGACTGTAGGATGCTCTGCCTCAATCTCATTCTTAGTGAATTGACTCGCCTGCTCGCGAGACATCTCACTAACCTTCTAAGCTGGTTTTTCCGTACTGCGCCTTTCCATGCCCCCGGAGCGAGAAAAATCACACACCCTTGCCCTATTGCGTGTCCCCCCGGCAGGAATCGTCGGCAATCTCAGCGCTAAAAGGTTCCTTGGAACCAACGCAGCGATATTACTGAGATATCCGTAAGGCCAGGGTAAAGGGCTTGGGTGGGGATTGTGGAGGGGGTGGATAGGTCTGCGGGAATGTTTTTCTGCATGTGGGAATTTCGCCGTGAGCTACTCCTGTCTGTCTAATAAGCAGGCAGGGTCAGGCGAAGGCAATGATGGGATGGGATGTGTGCTGATAGATGGAGGCCTCGACTATCCCGGGACGTATCATCATATCGTGTCTCCGTAGGCGGTACACCTCTTGAGAGAAAAGAAAATACCAACATGAGTCAACGAGGGATATCTGGTGCGTAATGGGGGCAAGCTAAGCAGGCAGCCAGGCAGCAAGGGGGGGGGGAGGGTGAGAAAGTAGGGGGAATGTTTGAAAAGCTGCAAAGCGATTGAGTATGATTCTTTTTTTCTATTTTTTGTCATTTCGATCAAACTGCCGTATCTCTCGGTCTCGCTCCCTCTCCCGCCCGAGAAACCCAAGGTACGAGGCAAAGGGCGCAAAAAGACCTCACGAGCGTCAAACGCTAAAAAGGTAACCCGAGTACTGTATCGTGTTTCAAAATAAAATAGGAATATAAGAAATGTCCAGATATCCAAATAGATGACGTTGAGGGAAAGGGAAGGGGTACCGTATGTGTGTATGTGTGTAAGGGAGAGGAGGGAGTGCGGTATCACGACTGATAATACCGGTACCTGTCGTCAGCAGTCAATCGGTAAGAGGAGGGAGAGAAGGAGGGAGAGAGAGGAAAAAAGAAAAAAAAGAGATTCACCTGGGGCGAATGGTATCCGTCCCCCTCTTCTCTTGAGTCTTGATAGAAAAAGCTGTAAACTGCCGCTCTGCTGCGCGTTAGCTAGACGGACGGTTATGCTGTAATCGTGTATCGCCGGACAATCTATCTCGCTCTTTTTGTTTTTTCTTTTCTCTTTTTTTCTGCCCTCCTTCCCTCCGATTCCTTAGCCACTCATCTACCTGGTTGGTGACTTTTTTTTTCCTTTCCGTCGTTAGGTGACTAGAAAGAAAAGAAAAGATAATACTGCTGCTGCTGTTGATGATGATGATGATGATGATGATGATGAAAGAGGACGGGATGAGGTTGGAAAAGGGTTATGGGGAGGGAATGGACGAGTTTGTTTCTGTAGGGGGATGGGGTATCATACACTTCAATGTAATACAAGACTGAATGTAACATTCGTGGTCGTTGTCGTAGATTGCCTTGCTGCCCGCTCGCAACAAAGGTTTCCTGCAGCAACACCGCCGCCACCGCTATTCCGCCAACCACGACAACGCAACGACAACGGACTGAGGTAAAGCGATCCCGTCCAGTTCTGATCCAATTGTGAATGAATCGTGTGCATCCGTCACCACGACCTTGCACCATCACTGCCCGTCCCCAGACAACCCAGTGCAATGCGCTGTGTCCGAGTCCACCGTGAGTTATCGCCCGCCGGTGCAGTGCTGGACAAGTCCGATACCGGTACTCGTACTGCACCAGTACGCCCAGTTCCCAATTCGCCCAGTCTGACCCACTCACTGCACCACAGTCCGCCCATCTCTTACCCACGGTTCATTCCAACCAATTTCTTTTCCAACAGTACAGTGCAGTATCTCAAGGCGCTGTGCTCGAGTACTTCTCTCTCCCTGTCCACGCATCTCTAGTACCAAGAAAAAAGATGAATCACGAATCTCCTAGCACTTTCGCCCTGTGATCCCTGTGGTACCGCCTGCATCCATGATGCTATGATAGCTCCAGCCACATGCGCCCACCTGGTAAGCCACCGCCCGAATAGACTAATCTACATACCCGGTTGCTTTCTTAACTACCGGTACCCGTACCCTAGGCCAAACCAAACCTTGCCATCCATCCTATTACCGGTAGTCTACTCGCAACAACTAGCCAAATAGTCCGTCAATGGCTGCAGAAGAGAAGAGGAAAACCTGAAACATGACATGTGGAGCATGTGAAGAATACCGGGTGACTAAGTCGACCATGTACCTGTATGTGGTGCTTTGCAACCGACTGACAGACGTTCCTGACGGACAAATGTGAAACAGTTCGTTGTCCGCCTCCTCTCATTCCGCCGTAGTCCGGGAAAGAGACTCTTCTTTTCTCCCCCCCTCCCTTTCCTTCTCAGGTACAGTGCCGTTTCCTCGTACGAGGAAGGAAGGGGAGAATACCGGTAACAGTATTTATTTTGGGATATATTCGACGTCATTGGTCGGTACGGTACCGGTAGGTCTCTCTCTCTCTTTTTTTTCCTTTTTTTGACGTGGCTGATGTAAATTTATAATATCGACTGTATTCTGTGCAGTTTCAGATACTGTACCTGTAGGGATAACTTCCCATCGTCTCCTTTCTTGTGATAGGAAGCGCACAGGATGCAGGTTTAGTCGAAAAGTGCTCGAGTACTGGTACTTGTAAGCTGGGTGCAACACTGCCCAGCGTCATTTGTCACGACGCGACGCGATAGGCGTGATGGGAGAGATGGCCGATGGGGATGGATCGTATATCGTGGCTTCCGCGCAGGACGAGATGGGATGGGGAGGAAATGGGCTAGCCGGGGGCTTTCGGTGGTGATGGCGGTGGTGGTGGTGATCGATGATGATGGGTGGATGGATCGATGGATGGACCTTCTTCAATCAAGCACATCCCAAGGGATTTTCCATAATTCCTTTTTCCAACCGGACCGCAAAACCCTTCTCTGCTCGTGTACAAGTACTAGTAGGGTACGGTAAGGGTATGATACTCGAGTACTGTACTTACCGGTGCTATCATACCGGCAGGTACTGCGCCGGTACCCTACCGCCGTACCGTACTCCGTACTCGCTTGTGTGATGGCACCAAGAACCGCCACCAACCGACCGCAAAGGTATAATAACTTACACTATCGTATACAGTACTTACCACCCAGCAGACCATACCGTAATCCAACCTCACCTCACCTCACTGCACCCTGGAAGGAAAAAAGAGGAAAGGGGAAATGATCCAGAACAAAAACGTGGCTCGGGAGTCCCGGTACGGTACCCGTTCAGAGGTCTCACAAGGAACGATCCCTTCCTGCCTGAAATGATCGTGGCAGGCTACTGTTTCATGTCGCCGTTCTGTCCTTGTGAAATCTTGGCGGCTCAGTCGACCATCAGAATACGGTAGGCGCCCGGGGGTCTTCTCTGAGGGCACAAGTACGCGTACTGCACCATACTCGGGTGCAATACGATACGGTAGAACCGAGCGCGAGTCGGGTGTGATACCAGCCCGAGATTGGGTAGTGAGTGAGTGAGTGAGTACAGTACGAGTACCGGTACTGTACCGTAGATAGCTGGCAATTGAAGATTTAAGGTGAGTGAGTGGGTCTGTGGCCGGGCCGGGCTTACCCCACAATCCGACCTCGATCCGGGCCAATAGGAGCCGTGGGAGCGAAGGTGTGATGCTGCATCGTACCAGCGCCGGTCCGGCTTTTCCCAGATTTGCCTTAAAAGTATGGTCGTACGATGGACGTGTGATGGGAATTTCGGGAAAAGGGGGACCAACCTGAAGGCGCTTTCTATACCGGTATATACGGTATTCGTGTTATGCGAGCGTGGCACGGAGCGAGCTTGTGGGTGCTCGAGCACGATGGGGAGAGAAACCATCGCTACACCAATTTAGCTAGCCAATTCCCCATATGCCCTTTTTTTTAAAACCGCGATTGCGCACCGTACTGTACTGTACCGTACCGTACACCAAAAGCACTCTATCACATGATATATTACGGACGCGACAAGCGAGTCGCGTGCGGACTACCGGAACTCAACCAGGAGCAGGTGTCCAGTACTGTACTAGCACCGGTGGCTGTGGTACAGTACGAGTACTAGCACAAGGAGGGGATCTAGCCTGTTACCAAGGGACAGGCCTCGGGCCCCACGCCTGCATGGGATAAAATAAGGTACCGAAATCATGATACTGTATTACCCCGCATGTACCGGATACCGAAGCACTGCTATGCCATTCCCAGAAGCCCATCTCCACTGCTTGGGTTCGTCCCTTTCGCGTCCCCCCAGAAAGGCTGCAGTATCTGTAAGCCTACGCATTGAAACCCCGTGGGGCCTTTCTATTTTATTTTAATCATGATGTTTGCTGCACCATACATGTGCAATGGTTACAAGGAGTGAAAATTAAATGGGGAGAGCTAGCAGGTGCTTGATTAACGCTAATTCCCTTTGGGGTACTATATCTCCTCCAGATCGCCTAGATCGTCAATCTCAGGAAAATCCCCAACCTCAATGCGATCAGGCCGGACAAAGGACCCATGCTTGGCCTCACACTTGAAGTAGGACTTTCCCTGAATAGATCCGTCGTTCCTCCCTGCAACGCAGAACTAGGGTTAGCTTCTAGAAGGAAAAAATGTGTGTACCTTGCATTTCTCCCCCGGTGCCGCGAAGATGGCGCCAGTCGAGGGGTTGGGGGGAAGAATCTGATTTTACCTGTTGGTTCGTCCGTCTCAACGCCAACCCATACGCCACCGTTAGGAATCTCGTTAACCTCCCCAACGTACCTGATCGTACCCCTACGACCTAGGTCCGATGCTCCGACTCGGCACCTGGCACCTACCACTATCCTTCTAGCGCCCACCTCGTCGTACTGTCTCTTCAGCTCCATTCGGTCCTTCTCCTCCTTATCCGGGTCGAACCGGCCGAGCTTATTCCTCTTTTTCCAAGCAAGCACACTATCTTGGAGCTTATCATACTCCTCCTCCGGCATCACATATTTCTCGACACCAGTAGTATCCGCGAAATTGGGGCGGGCTGCGAGCGGACGCGAATCCGCAACCTATTGGCGTGGATATGAAACAAACGTCAAAAAACGGTGTGTCAAATCGGAGTGTTTTCTTCTCCTCCCCACCCCTGTTCGCTGCTTTTCTCATATTTTTTCTCATTTTGAGACAACGGGAGACAAGGGTTGTACGCTACGTAACAACGACGGTGAGGTGCCTTTTCTCGTCGGAAAAGGAACGTTGTGCATAAGACAAATGGGGGATGACAGGGGAAGAAATTGGAATAAATAAATAATTTTATAATCAAGAGAGGTAAGGGGAATAAATAAATAAATGATAGGATCTTGTGTGAAAAGCAAAGGGAGAAAAAAAAGGAACTATGGGCGATTGGGGCAGAAAGTGTAGGCGGGAAAGGAGATGTGCAGTGCGTCCCTGAGGTACTCGAGTACTATATACGAGGACTTGGCAGACGCAGGGTAGCGTAAAGAAAGGGAAGGAGCAGACTAGAATACCTCTCAGAGTGGCGGGTCGGCAGGTAGGAGGAGGAAAAAGGAACAATGGATGGGAAGGGGTGTCATACGTGGAGTTCAGCGTAAGGCTGAAGAGGAAAGGCTGCTATCTGCGTGTTTTCCTCATCATGGCTCCAGATGGGTATAGGTTGAGGAGCATGTGGCACACGCAGCGTGAGTTGCTGTGAAGGTGGAGGGATGCCGGTGACGGGTTCAAGCTTATTCTTGAGCTCAGTGATGCTCCACGATGGGGAGAGTCGGCGCTCAGAAGCAGCATTATCAGACGTGACCCTGACCGGAATATCAGCAACTGTCGAAAAGCTCATTGGATCTGAATGATATTCGCCGCCCCTGTCTGTCCTTGCCGTCTGGTACCGGCGATGTGGCGATGACGAAGAGGTTATTTTTCGGTTCGAAGAAAAAGGAAGTGTTGTTTCTGTCTTCTTCCGTGATGTTCCGTTTGTTGCAGTTTTTTTTCTTTTTTTTTCTTCCCCTCGCTCGTGCCTGAGTTTGCTTGCTTTGCACTTGCGATAATGTTTGAATGTGTCGGCAATTATCTGGTGCAGACCAAAGGCTAAAAAGAAGAATTGTCGAGAAACTAGGGGGTGAGATGGGAATTGTGGACAGGATGCTTGGGGAAAAAGTAGGGAAGGGAAAGGAAGAAGAGGGGCCCCTTGGAGGGAACGACCAATGCACGAGCCAGAAGTGTCGTTCAACGCGGGGCTTGTGTATGGTACGAGTGCAGTGCCGCACAGTGCCGGTATGCAGCCGCAGAATGCCCTGGATGTTACTCGTTAATCGGAAAGAGAGAGGTTACCGGTATCGTTGGGGGGATTATTAACTTTTCTGCACTTTGGATTTTTTTTTCCTTCCGCCTTATTTTCTTTTTCTCTGGCCGTAGCTTCTGGAACACTTGGACACCTGGACCTCCGATCCAAAGCCTTGTGGCGCTCAAGTTTTCACCCGATGTACTTGTACAAGTACTAGCACAGAGTACTAGTACTCTACTCGAGTAATTTACAGTACTAGTGCAAACTCCTGGAATCCACTATCGGACCTCCGCTTGTCCCCGTGATCTCCGGATCCGGAGACAAAAGCTCCTGAGAGGGACTAGCCTTTTCCTGGCACGATATAGGGCCGCCCTACCAGACGTGCTGTCTCATTACGAGTAATTTAGACCAACACCTTTTTCTCCATAGATTTAACCGTTGCCCTGTGAAACTAAACCTATCCCGGGCCGATAATCTGATAGTGGAGTTCATGAAATTTCACGGTATCAGGGCCAGCGAAGAGTAGGGTGGGAAAGAGCACTTGAGTACTCGTGTAAAGTAGTATGATACAAGATGAGAGGGGGGGGGATGGGGAAAAAAATCTTTCCCAACCTACCGGAAACCATGCAACGAAACCTGCACTCTCTACGACCCAGGAGCCAATAAACCCCGATCCTCTGACACCGCCTTCTCCACGCTAAGATTCATATATGGCACATCTCGTCAATTGGGTGCACTCGGGGAAGCACTGCTCCCGTGTCATGAGCGAGCGGGGATGTTAGGGAGAACTGGGAGGGGCTAAAAATTAGCATTCCGGCATCTTGTCTCGCCCCTGCCCACTCTCTGTGTCAAAGCCTTGGAGGCATTTGATCATTCCCAAATTATATCATTCGGCAGCGCCACCCATAGATCCAAAAGTATGTGGTTTCGGAGGCGGCGGTGACGGGAGGAAGGATTGTGGTGATGGTGATGAGGTGAGGCGGGGGCGGGGTGGGGCTGGTGGTATCCATCTTTGGCCTATCAGAAGGTGCAAAATTTTGGACAACATTGCGCGAGCATATACCGGTATGCTGTATCATATGTGGGAGGGATAGTGATTCTGCACATAAGAGTAATACCTCTGCGTAAAGTAGCACAGCAGGGCAAAGTATGGAGGGAAAAAAAAAAAATCCAACTGAGCCAGTTGATACTCGTAGACTGCAAGCTGGTCCGCTCGCACTGACGTATAGCCAAGCAAGATGGGCCTATGATATCAAAGCCAAGCCCCAAAGGGTTTGTCATTCGCTCTCACTCATTCACCAGGGTACAAGGCATATGTATATAAATATGCATTTATACCCGGTCGACACACTTGTACAATAATTACTTGCCTAACCCGTGCTGCTGCTGCTACTGCTGCAAAACCCGGTTGCTGTTCGGAGAAAAAATAAAATAAGAAAGGGTGAGTACCAGTACAAGGCTTATAATAATAACAAGCGGGGATATAATCCTGGCACCGGGGTGCTAATTAGATTAGATGGGCCACATACAGTGGAGTAGGTTACCGACGGGGAGAAGGCGCGGCGGGAAGGGAAGGGGGGGGTAGCGTCGATTTTCTGGTTTACCAGAAATGGAAAATCGGATGAAAGCGAATGAACGGAGAAGCCGCCAGGGCAAGAGGCAGTATTAGAGCAAACAGAAGGTTATGAAGATTGGATAGGTATCCATATGTGAAGGGCTGATGGGGGAGAGAGATCGGAGGACGCGCGACCCGCCTCCGCCATTGGGCCCCAGGCGTCACGCGTAGGAGGGAGCTGGAAGGGCAGGGTCAAGGGAAGGGAGAGATACCCGTGGTGGCGGCCGGGGAGTGGAGTATGTGAGTGAGTATGATGCGATAAGTAGGTACCATGGGTGAGTTACAATGAAAGTATGATAACTCAGAGCGAGGAAGGAAGAAGGGAACCCACCACCACCACCACTGCATCCATACGCCATCTGTTTGGCCCTGGAAGTGACATGGAAGCTTGATGTAAGGTACCGTACTGTGCCACCGCTCGACTCGAACGGATCGGTTCCCACAAGAGCGGCTCTTAGAAAGAACCTAACAGGGTAGTGCAGTTCTCCCTTTGTGATGAACAAGGGAGAGAAAAAGAAAATACGCCTGCCACCATATTTTCCCCTTCTAATCTTTTTTTCTAAACCTTCTAGAAGCCTGGCCGGTACTTGGGCTCGATCTTTCTGTGTCGCTGCATTTTTTTTTTACCTAGTTATCTCCCTCATCGTGTCTTTCTCTCTACTTTTTGCTTTTTTGGAGACAAAAAGCCTGGTTACCCTTGTAAGGATCGATTGGAGCATGTGGGCTACGTGCATTCATTGTTCCATTCATACGTACGTTCTCTGGAGAGAATACGGGCTGGGAGCTTTTTTCGAAAGGGAAGAGTGGAGAAAAAAGAAAAAGAGGATAGGTTGGGGAATATTGTAGCTCACGCGTTACAACTCACCAAGATCAGGATCGAGCGGGAGCGTGCAAATGGTGGTGAATTACCACGGCACTACGGTAGGCGTTCTCTCTGCGTCTCCCAGTTCATGTGGGGTTTCCATCACGGTGTGCCGTGGTGTATGCACTGTATAGTGTTAGAACGAGTGCAGTGATATGGGTTAACAGTGGCGGGGAGACCAGAGTCTGGAAGTGTCAAGACACGGTGGCGCACGCAAGTGACATGAGAAGAGCAGTGGTGGGGTAGAAAGGAGGGTGTGAGGGGTTCGTTACTGACTCTAGCTGAGCCCACTACCGGGCCCATATTGTTGCTGCGAGACCAGTTACGCTGACTTGGGGATTGCCACTGATGGCCCATTGTAGCAAAGAGAAAATCCCTCCTCAGAGAGTCCTTCCCCGCGACCATAGCTGGGAGCAGTCCCTCCCTCCCTCTTTTCACCTGCTTCTAGGGTGTTCGCCGGGAATGGACCAATATTCAATAACATTCTGCTGGCATGACAGTTGCTGTTATTGCTCTCCTCACTCCCTTCCTCTCGATCTTCTAACTTGTCGTCTGTGTGCTTAAGAAGGTAGTGGTTCGCCGGTACAGCCTTCTTGAGCGTGTTATTTGCTTTGTGCATGGGTCAGTCGTTCATCACATCTTTCTTGCACGACCACCACCTTGCCGTGCGGTGCTGTGCGCTTTGAGGGGCTGGCACCTTCCCTCAACTGTCCCCATTTCAAACGGCTAATCTCGAAATGGAGTACGTACGACCCGAATTTCGGGGCACCGTATCAGGGCCGAGAGGCATGGGGCGCCAACCAATCTGGTAAGTAACTCAGCGAAATACTACACCATCCTTCTCATGCCCTGCTCCCACCCCAAGACCACCGGAAGCGAGGAGAGAGGGGGAGGATATTTGCCAAATTCCCTGGGGACCCTTGAGTATTTTTTTCCCTTTGAAAAGAGAGCCAGTCAAGGCCCCTGGCTACTATATGTCACTTTGATGCCCCTGAAGGATGAGAAGCCATTGGTTCGGTGCAACACTATAATCACCAATTCCAAGGCACTGAGCTCAATCAAGACATCTTCAACTACCCCCTCCATCCCGGGCTTCCTGTCTAGGAGGAAGGAAGAAGAAGGGGAGAAGCGAGACCAGCCCGCAAATCCTTCCAAGAGGCTCACATCATCCTGCAATTGGAGACCTATTTATTGTGTCCCCTAGGGAAAACTGCTCAAGGCTAGGGAAAAATACTGTAAATTGGGAAGAAGGAACTCACTTGGGATCTCCCGACATGTATGGTACGCTGCCGGACCAGCTAAAAAAACCTGATGAGTTTCAATCCTTGTCATTACCGGGAGGGAACCTAACCAAGCACTTTCAGGCGCCAGTCCCTAGTCCCCCCCCACCCCCATCCGCAGGACATCTTCCATTATAGAATCGCCACTAGCTCAGTTTCTCACCACACCCTCCCCGATCGAGTGCTCGTACAAAAATGGGCCTTCCTCGCTCCCTTAAATTTCACATCGCAGCGACCACGCACCCCATCTCAACTTACTCACTCCCATCCGCCGCATCTCTTTTTACTATCCCTCGTTGCACCAAGTGGTTAGGTAAGTGAGGGAACAACAATCCTTCGAATCCTGCCTAACCTGACCACCTTCACCGCCTTTGCCAACTACCAGCTACCACGACCACTATCACCCCTGTCCCTTTCGGCATCATCGTCAAGCCAACGCGGAGCCAAGTCAAGCACACCTGCGAAGTATTCTCATTGGCGTCGATTGCTTTACTTCTCCCTCCAATGCCCCCCAAACAGAAGGATACCCTTCCACCACCTCCCTCGCCGTCTGCAAAGCGGCCCCTGCCGGATGTGGCGCAGACGTCGCCGGCCAAGAAACAAAGCAAGTGGAGCGCGGATGAGGACGCAAAGATCATTGACCTGAGGGGTAGAGGTCACAAATGGGAGGATATCAGCCGGGAATTACCGGGACGCTCGGCAATCTCCTGCCGCTTGCACTACCAAAACTACCTTGAGAGGAGATCGGAATGGGACGAGGACCGCAAGAACAGGCTTGCCCGTTTATATGAGAGGTACGCACATAAGCATATACATATGATGCATCCACATATGTACATGTACATATACATATATAAGATATATACAAGTGCTCGGAGGCTAGTTTCGTGCGCTCGCTCACCAAACTTTGGTGGGCACGAAAACATATCCCAGAGCACATGTATAATATATCCATATATTAACATACTCGAGCCGCCGGATTGAAGTCGCGTTTTGTTTGGTGGGACACCACCAAAATGGGAGCGACTTCGATCAGCGACTTGAGTATACTTGCCTATTCAAAAGGAATCCTGGAATTTCCCCTTAAGCAATTGGAGGATTTGACCCCCCCGGGGGTATCCGGAGGTATGGCCCGGTTAGAGCCTAGATAAGAACCGCCAAGATTTCCGGATACTTTCGGGGTGGGCAAGTATATATGCATACTATCCTCAACTTTATTCATCCCCCCCTCTTCCCACACCAAAGTTTTGCTTCAGATCCACGATATAGCCGCTAACAACCAAGTGAACAAACAACAGGTTCAAGGCAGAGATGTGGGCCGAGGTGGCCAAAGAGATGGGGCTCCCCTGGCGAACGGTAGAGGCCATGCATTGGAAACTCGGAGAAATTGAAATGGCTCGTCGGGCTGGCGTCGTTCCTTTCTCCCTCAGCAATATCGCCCTCGACGCCCCGCCGAAGAGGACCGGCAGCGCGGGATCGGCTGGGGGTAAAAGCCAGAGTCCCGGGAGCACGAATGGCCCGGCTGCGGGACCGTCGGCACCCCCGGCGGAGGCGGGCTCCGCACCGCCGGAGGGCAAGAGTGCTGCGTAGTGGTGGTGGTAATAATTTCCCGATGACGCTGTACTGTGCGGTAACGGCACTGCGTGGGGTGAAATGGTGAATTCATTCGGGAGTTTCCGGTGGGATTTAATTTTCTTTTTTTATATAGAGATATTCCGTCCTATGATACTAGATTGTTCTCTTTTTCAGTCTCTTCAGTTCCTTGTTTTTCTCCTCTTTTGCTTCCCCTTCCTTTCCCTGTTGGTTTTTTTCTAGAGGTTTTCAACATACAGGCCCATATGGCCTGATCTGTTTTTTTTCTTCATTAATTCTCTTTTTTATTTCTTATGTCATAAATTTCATATGATATATCGGGGAACGGCTGGCGGGCGGGTACGGCGGCAAAGGGAATCCAAGGCGAAATTATATTGGCGTGTTTTTGGCTTTTGTTTTTTTAAACCATTTTGGGGGACTCTCAAGTCACTGCGGGTTTCTTTTTTCATTTTTTTCTTCATGCATTAGCTTTTGGTACATTTTCATTTGCATTGGGCATAAAAAGACCTAGAGTATGGCATAGAGTAGAGTAGAAATGAGCAATATTTGTTTTCTTCTTTCTTTTGATCAGTCTGCCCGCCCGCCTTACCTTCTATCATATCATGTCATATCCGTTGTGAACCAAAAATAGTTTTATGGTGCCATCATGAGAATCTCGCTTTGATCAAAAACCAGTTTTTTTTTTTTTGCTCGGGCCTAGTATAGTCGGTTAGGTCCAGCAATCAATCAGACAATTGACAAAAGTACAGGGGAACAAACCAGGATTAATATAGGATGATGGCATTGGTATAACGTGTCGTGTGGGGGCGCGCATTTCGGATGCCAAAATTTGAAATGAGGTTCAAAAACTCGACTCCCAATAGAAATACTGGACAAGGCTGGTAGCTAAATCGGTATATGATTCGACTATCATTCAGGTAAACTATTGCTGCTTTGCCGAGGGGCCTTCTCTCCTCGTATACCCTTTTTTTGGTTCCTTCTTTCGGGCTGTGTTTGAAACAGTGTCTTAAGGGCTTTCACAAAGTTGAGGCAAGACGCAGAAGTGTTGGAGAAAAGGGACCTATGGGAGGGTGTGCTATGACATGTTTTTGATTGTCATGCACAATGGGCTCATCTCTACATCCCACTTCTCATCTGTCACGCCCCCCCCCCCTCCATCTCACCTGACAGGGCCGCATATCGCCCACCAATTATCTTTCTCGTAACCAGATTCCATGACCTTGCCTCCGGCACGAGCGATGTCGGCTTCCAATTCTCCCTTACGATAGAGATGATAATATCGCATATAGGTGAGCTCCTTATCCCTACCCTTCACCTCATCTTGCCCATCGACCCCGTCATTCGTCGTATCTCGGCCCTTGCTATCAGGTGTGTCTCTGGGTGAATCCGGAACCTGGCGATTCTGCTGACTCCCTTTTGCCCCCGCACTGGTGGAGAACTGTTTGGACATGACCCACGGCACAAGGACGTCTTGCCGATCCCCCTCATCCCAGCCTCTCCTAGAATTCTTTTGCTCTAAGGCCCATACGTAGATAAGCGCCCTGCCACAATCAGAGCTATTGTTGGACGCTTTCAAGGTAGCAAGGATGCTCTTGAGTGCGTGACATCTCCTCTCTGGCGAGGAGAAATGATGTATGACCGCTATACTAATAACGAAGTCAAAGCGGGAGTCGGGATGCGGGAGATCCAAAGCATCAGCCACAATTGAATCCTGAATTTCCAGGCTATGAGCTATCCCAATCAAAGACGACGACCTAGGGGGCACAATAGTAGTGGTCAGTTACTTCAGGTGGATATTACACGAGTCAGACATCCTTGCAGTGATGGAATAGAATAGAATTGGAAGAAAGAAGAAAAAGAAAAAAAAGTAGCTGGGGGGGCTCTTGGTGCCTATAACGGACCTATCTGAGCCGACTATGAAAATATCCGGGTTGACTGTCCAGTACTTTCCGTTCCCACACCCTACATCCAGACCGACAGCGCCGATCGGCAGACCACAGAGAAACTTCTCCACGATCGGCCAGGGCTGAAGCCACGCACCAGTTAGCAAAGAGAAAACTGACAGAAAACAGATCGACAAGACCTACTCTAATGCCTTAGGAATAATATGGTAATGAGGGGGCGGGGGGCTATTGGAAAAAATGGAGATAGAAGCAACACGTACTTTGAAACGGGTAGCAGAGAAATGGGATGCAATATGCTCATACACTCGGTGAACATGGGACACCTCGTGCTCTTCGGGATTGACGATGTCCATTGGGTGGGGAGAAAGAGAGGGGACGGGGGGGGCGTAAGAAATGTCACTGTCGGATAAGTGACGACGATAATTAGAGTTTGAATACACAATTCCGGGTAGAACTTGAGTATGATGAAAATGTGCCGATTGAGAAGCGTAGGGTAGTGCTAGAAGAGGTGTATTGGTGGCTAGTGCTATGCTCTCTTTAGATGTGGAGAAGGTATCACAGCTGGGTTGGAGGGGGTGAGCTGCCGCTTAGGTTGAGTGAGATCGATTGGTGTCCCGCAGCCCGTACTTAGCTGTTGCTAAGTAAGTTCATCCGGGTTTAATTCGACGCGTGACGCAACTGACATCTAATCGGACTGCAGACTCGAGTTCTCGGGAGAAAAGCGAGCTAAACAACGGCTGGAACTCATTGAGAAACATGTCTTGCATTAACCCGCGCATAGTACAGTAATAGTACCGGTACAGCGCACGGGCACCGGGGAGACTGATTAACAGAGCGACGGGATCTGATGGGGGAGTAGAAAAGAAAAAGGAGGGGGAGTCTTGCTGATCCTTTGAAAGGATTCTCAGTTGGGATAATTGTTCGATCCCTTAATGCAGTTATGGAATGCTCCTGTAAGCTTCTATTGAGGCATGAAAGGGCCGCACTGCTTACCACAAGTCGTGATGCTAGTGGTTGTTAGATTCGAGACATTCTTTGTGCTCGGGTAGAAGTGCCATTAAGTCCAAGACAAGACTCTCCGAAATTATATCAAACTACTTTTATCGTTGCACAGGCCCCCGCTTGTCTCTAAATAGGTCTTTTGTGGAGTAAGAAAAGTTTGGTGTTCTTGATAGATTATATGAGATTACAGCATAAACTGTGATCTGGGACCGTGAACGTAGTGTAGAGGAACGGATGGTTTATGTGTACCCAGGGGGGCGGGGGTGGAAGCTGTCTTATCCATAAAGCAAGATCTCACGCGATATTGTTCAAAATGGTAGGGGGGGCCCTAGTTGAAGTGTAGCCTTGAGTTTTGCGATTTCTTTGTGTGATTCTTGGCAGAGGTAATAGAGCAGTTACAACCCAGGGATCACTCGTTGCCGCGCTACAACACCCACAAGGTTGAGAGAGCAAGATTGTTAGCTGGGGGGCTACCGTTAAGAATGGAGAGTGAAACACTCATCTCCCAAGATATAATGCACAGATTGTTGTCTAACTACATTAATTTCTAGTGCACGACCGGGTAATCAGCTAGATAATAATACAAGTGATTTCTTGTGTTCTTAGAGCCCAAGTTCCTACAAGTAACCGAGCTCTGGCGAATTCTGTTAATTTTCCGCACCCCCCTTATGAACCGAACAATGCCGGGCCAAGAGGGCCTAAGAAGTTTGGACATAATCAGAAAGACATTCTGGCTTTCAAGGGTCATACAGAAACAGTCTAGTGGTAGGATATCATATAATAAGCTTCCCAGATAGTGTTTCTTCAGTTGTTTTAAATGGTATTATAGTATGTAGACATCATAGTAGGTTTTACATATATATCCTCCATCTCTATTACAACTCCAATCATTGAAAAATATTTCCTATTTGGGAACAAGTCAACATCAGAGAAATATCACTACTTTTATAGTCCTGCACCCTCCCACTAGGGGAGTATAGGCCATACCTATTCTAATCCTTTACTCCTTAGAGGCTTCCTCCTCTCTTCTCTCTCTTCTGGCATGTTGCTCTTCTTACTGGTTAGTGTTTTCTCTTTATGTCTGGGGTCTCTTTGTCAGGCCTCCCCCCACTCTATTCTACTTTTGCTATGTCTTACTTAGTGTTAGCATGGTTGGCTTTAGTGGATAGGAGACAGCTCTTTAGTCAGTTGATCTAGTAGTCCTCTGGGCTATCGGGAGTTTGCCTTTAGCCCTCTTCACACTGCATGGCAGTAGTATCCTATCTACTACATAATACTTTCTCTTAGAGAATAAGGGACTACATGAGAAAAGCAGTGATACACCTGTTCTGTATTGAGGTTTAGACCTACTTCTGTGACCCTAGTTGCAGCCTTCTACTGTATCACTTGGCTTGACTTGCTCTGTCTGGCCTACTTTCTTCATCCTATGGGTTGGCTGGTATCCTACTGCTGAGGTTCTCCGAGTTCTCCTCCTTACCATATAGACAGCTCTTTTATCTGCTCCTTTCAGCTAGCTTTAGCTATATCAGCAAAAATTATTCCTGAGTCAGAGGTATAGGCAGTACATTCTGATGCAAGCAGGAAGGATTTTGCATCTGGTATATCCTATAGGTCCATGTTACACATAGAAGCGTAATTGGTGCGGCACATGACTAAATGCATAAGGTCACGTGTTTGACTCCAGGCCCTGCCATAGTTATTGTGAAAATATCATATTATCGCACGGAATGATAAGGCATCTATGCAGCCTACTCTGCAGAGATATGAGGCAAGCGACCGAGGGGTTTTCACTGGATAATATAGAAGAAGCTCCGCTCCACAAGATAAGACTTGGTCGAACTGGATTGGTCCATTAGTTATTGAGCTGTGGCCTCCGGAAGTCTTGGTGCTGCTATTCTTGAGAAGTAGCCGCACTACCTCTAGCTCGCATAAACTAGGTCATCCAGAAGACTAGTTCATGATTAGTTAGTAATAACAACTTACTGGTCAAGTTCAAGTTAGTTATCTTCGTCATGTACTCTAAGCTATGCACATAGAAGAATCATTGATAAGTTCTTTGACGGAGCTGATCACTCCACTTAGGAAGAGAGTAAGGAAGTTAGTTTTCTGGGTCAAATGGAGTTTGCACTCCAAAAATACTGAATTGTTAGGATGGCAGGTACAGGGTTAGTAATGGATTAGATGAAGGCCGTGACTACCCAGACACGGACAATAAATATCGAGGTGCCTCCTTAGCTTTAAGTCCATCCTCCGTCTCCGCTACACCTCCAGCGATTGAAAACTCAACACCATGGTTTTTATCATGAGTTTTTGTTTCGTCGCGAAACTTTCTCCACCCTCCTGCCCACTCCTACCTTTGGCCTCAGCCAAGGGGAGTCTGGCTCTTCTCTCCTCTCACGCCCGGGGTATTGACTTTGGTCTACTGTCGCAGGGCCCTCCCTCTCCCTGGGGGTTGGTCGGTCGGAGGCCCACCTCAGCTGGCTGGCAGGTGGTGGGATCCCTTCCACTATAGTGATGCTATCTCTCCCAGAACAAGGGACTACATGAGAGACGTGGTAAAACACCTGCTATGCTTTGCCTAGGTGGCCGTTGATGATCTTCCTTACTCCTCCTTCCTCCCGCCCCCACACATAGTGGGGAGTGCTCTCCTCCTCCTGAGTTGGCCTCGCTTAGCCTTCTCACAGTTGGCAACCCCTTAACCACCATCATGAGACGGCCGGGACTACAGTTGCAGTAGGGGAGAACAGCCAACAGGCTACAGTCGATCTCCCCATTCTCTTGTTCCCCTAAGAGGCTGCCTAGTCAGACACAAATACGACACCGATAGACGATGTTCAAGGTCTTTGGGTCTACTCCTCCGCTCTCCTCTCCCTACAGTTGGATCGGCTGGCACCCTAC